TGATCGCAAATTGAAATCGAATTTAAAAAAAGATTTTGTACCAAATGTTACATATTTTTGAGGGGGTTGAAAACGTTGAGAAGTGATCATGGAACTCGATTGCTACAAAGTGGAAATTCTCCATTATCTCAATCCACACTTAATTTGGGTGGAAGTGACAGATTCAAAGAGGGATGAAGAATTTGTTTTTGAACAGTTAGGTATTTACGGGCTGCTACCTTATGAGACCACGATAGATTTAAACGGAGAAACTTTAAAAAGTCAACGATGTCCTGAATGGATAGCAGCTGCGACAGTAGTGATGAAGAAGGTTCTTGGTAGTGCTGTAGAGGTTTTCTTTCAACAAACTTTTATTGACAGGAGGTAAGGAAGAGTGATTCTACTTTCTTTTAGTTTTGGCTGTTGAGCCGACGAAAATATAAAAGACTAGAAACACAAATGGTATTCTGAAGTTTTATTTAAGCTGTTTTCACGCATATCAGTGACGTATCAGTACCGGCTCAGGTCGGTAGCGGTACCTCAATGTACGTCCATGTTACTAATTCATACATTATTGTTTCGTTAGGCAAAATAGATAAAAATGTAAGAAGTTGATCCTATGTAATTATGAGAGACGAGAGGAGAAATCATGACATTAAATAAATAATTAATTAAAGCTAAAGAAAATATTTCATGCTCCTTTAAACAGTGTCTGTTCCCCCTTTTTTTTTCTCACTGATCTCTTCTGTGATTGTCGACGCTCATACTTAGACTGAGAATGCCATTGATATTGATGAATATGATCATAGAGACTATCAAAAACTATTATCACTGATTGGGACCTCTGCCAATAATTTGCAAGCTGACATATGTATGAACCTTAAATTTTGTTTTATTTAAACCTTAAGTTTTGTTTCAGGTCGTCTATTTTTGATGACAATATTCATAAATACGGTGAACTAATTGTTAATACTGTGGATGGTAGAAAATTAAAACTAAGTCAAAGTCTCGTTGATTCTGGATTTGCCCTCTACGATGTTTGTCTCTTTCATCAGGAGCTAAGCCTAGGGAATTTAAAAACGAAGCTTAGCATTGTAAAAGCAAGAGAAGTAATCAAGTATCTAGAAAAAGATAACATAGATAAAGTTAGAGAGTGTAAGGTCAAGAAACAAACAGCCGTTTTACAAGCAGCACAGAGTTTTGAAACCACTCTAACAATGCAGAATTTAGAAAGACATAATCGTCAGTTAAGTGGTATGGCTATAGATAATTTGATACAAAAGAAAATGAAGGATTTTGACAGGTGCAAAGATATAGACGAGGAATCCATTGGCAGAGCTATCAGCTTGAAACAAAACTTGAAAGAACATCAGTCATCATTACTGAGGAAGAAAATGGAATTGTTCAAATTACAAAAAAGTCAAAATTCGAATAAGGAACAAAAGAATTCTCAAAATGATCCATTGAAAGTCCTGTTAGCTGCAAAACAAGTTTTGGAAGTTGATGCTAATACAACAGGAAATAAACTGAATGCGGACGATTCTCTGTTCTCTGAAGAAAATAAATTTCAAGAAAACAGGAGCCATCATTCGTCAAGTGAAAATGATATTGTTATTAATACAGAAAATAATCAAGTAACAAATTCTGAGAATATTATACAAAAAAGTAAGTTTTCTTATTACTCAAAAAATATCTGTGTTCTATAACTAGAGATTAGATTATATTCAATTGCATAATGCTTATGCATTTGTATATTTAGTGCTATATATTTAGTATATGATTACACTTATAAGCTAAACCATAATCACAATTCAGAAAATAAACTATTACAAAAATTCTTCACATACCAACTATCGATAATAATTTTCATAATAAGTATTGCATATTCACACCTAATGATCCCTTTCAGATAAACAATTCAATGATTTACAATCCTGGAAGTGGATCATGGATCGAATTTCATTATAACTTTACACCTAGGAGTGCATGTTTTGATAGAATAAGGAAATGAAAGAGAAAAATGTTTCTTCATAGATCTTAAACTATATAAAACTGTCTAGTAAAAAAAAAGTAATCATCTAGTATGGCATATCCTAAGCATTTTAATAATATTTCAAAATTACCAATTCATGTTGCATATAATCTGGTCTCCATCCATGTTAATACTGACACAGTAGAATAGGTATAACATAGTGAAGAATGTTTATTTATTAGCTTTATGTTTTCTTTTCAATATATTCATCACATTCCTAGATCCTTATAGCTACTTCATTTTATATTACAGAAAGAAAAAGTAACAAACAACATAAAATATCAGAATATGACATTGTGACTGAAAAACGGATTGCATTTGGACCCCCTGGGTTTAACCTTACTCAGTTACCAATGAAAATTGTCCCAAAAGGAAAAGAAACTGAAGAAATAAACTTGGTAAGTGAGATTGATGATAAAGTGTTTGTTGAAAGAGAAAAAGAACCATTTGCTGATGTCGATTCAATGGTTAATTTTGAAATTACTGAAATAGATAGACTGAAAGAAATCAAAAATAAACACGTTAACTGTGATGATAATTACTTAAATAGACAACAAACCAAAAATGCCAATGCAGGAAGTTTAGACAATACTACAACTAATGAGCAGAAACAAGAATTTGCAAAGCTAAGGTCTGCTGTATTGCAGAGAAAACTAAAATTACATAAAGAGATATCTTCAAAACAATCTGATCACTCTGAAACTTTGCTTGGTGATAGAATAAACAAAGCTCTCTCAGATACTTCTCATTCTGATACTGTTAATGAAGATCTCTTAGAAAATTCTAATTTTAATACAATTAATAAAGACTCTTCCACAAGTATTGATGGTATCCAATCAAAAAAAGAAGGAAAAAAGTCAGAAACTATAAAATGCGATTATTTAGACTCTGATGATGATGTCACTGAAATTTTTGAAGAAATGAATGTAAAATATGGTGTCCCAACTGTCAAAATTCAACCAGAAGCTCCTAAGGAGGTTATTAAGGCAGATAGTGCATATATAAATAATGTAAATCCTTTTAAGAATGTAGACGATACAATATCTGTGTTTGTTGATAAGTTAGTGGCACCTGTACTAATGGTCCATTCAAAGATGAATCAAAGGATTGAACCATGTTCTAATTTAAGAGATGCAAATTTTAACACACACATACAGATAGTTTTAAAAAATTTATCTATTGTGCATCCTATGATGTTGCAAATGATATCTTGGCCAGTGATTTTACGTGGTTTCAGTTTATTTTTGGTTAGTCCTTTAGGGAGTGGCAAGACCATTGGGTACTTGCCTGCAGTTTGCCGTTTAGTAACTGATTTTACTAGTGATAGCATTCATAGCGTCGGACCTATATGCATTATAGTTTGTGCGACAGCTCAGTCTGTAGCAGAAGTTGATAAATTAGCTCGAATGTTTTTAGGGGTAGAAGAAAGAGTACTGTCTTGCTTTGCTGGCATGGATGAACTCCACATGACCACGTCTTTACTTAACGGTTGCGATTTATTCATCTGTACACCATCTGTGTTAGTCAGGTTAATGCAACTCACCGACTTCGGAGTGGATTTACGTCGCCTTTCTACTTTTGTTCTTGATGATTGCGAAAGATTATCAGAAGTTTATGCCAAGGAAATCAAATGTTTCCTTGCTAAAATCAAAGAAGCAGAAAACAAGCGCGTAAATAAAGAACTTAAGGTACAATTTATAGCGGCGTCTAGAGTATGGTGCGAATTCATGGCACCATTAGCTAGGAAAGCGCCGAATTCTGTGATTTGTATTGGTGCATTCCAGGAATGTGTACTTTATTCAAAAACTAATACCATTGTTGATTTCGTTAAGAAAGAGAATAAAATAAAACGCGTGTTGGAATTTCTTAAAGGTATTGACGACACCAAAAAAACTGTCATTGTTTGCCGTTCTGACGATGAAGTGGAAGAATTAGGTAAGGTCTTACGGAATCATAAATATGTCGTTTTCAGCTGCAATAACACTATGACTGTTGAAGAATTATATGATTTGAGTCAATGTTGGGTAGAATATGAGGAACCTTTACTTGGGCCGATATTAATTTGTTGTGATGGTAATTTAACACATTTGAATGCCACTGACGCGCATTATTTGATCCATTACTCTCTACCTCATTTATTCTCGATGTTCTGTAGAAGATTTTCTGCTCTTAATAATAATTACTCTTCAATATTCAAAGAAGAGAAACAAAGTTTAAAAATCAAGGTATTCTTGGAAGAGGACAATCTGGAACAGCTTCCCAAGATTTTGAATTTCATCAAAAGATGTACTGATGTGCCGGAATTCTTAGAAAGTGTAAGTGTAAAAATATTGCAAGAAAAAGATGTGATCAAAGGAAAGAATCTTGTTCCCATTTGTGATAATCTACTTACGTTAGGCGAGTGTCCTGACTTCTGGAATTGTCAAGAGCGACATGGTATTTTTAAGCAATATGATCAGTTGAAAGATTGGATGCCAAGAAGTGGTGTGGTCACATTTAAAATACTTCATTATCACACTGCAGTACATTACTCGGCGCGACTGTTATCAAACTCGACAAAAGGCAACAAAAGGAAATATCCTCAAACATATAATGTGTTGCATATGAAGTTGGGAATGTACTTTAGTAAAGAAAGCAATAGGAAACTGCATGGAATACCTAAAGTTGGCGATATTTGTGCAGTGTCAGTAAAGCAAAACTTCTTTGCGAGATGTCAGGTGTTAAAGATCCTTAACCGTTACAATAACGGCACACCAAATTGCGTTTTAATAAATTTGCTGGATGATGAAAGATTAGAAAGAGCAAGGGATATATTTTTGTACCACCTACCCGAGGATTTGAAGAGTTTTGAAACACATATTGTGCATGTAAGGTTAGTAAATATACGCCCTAAAGATAATGACATTACTTTTTCAGATCTTGCTAAAAATCAGCTAAAGAAAATCACTGATAAAGAAGAAGATTTATATTTGAGAGGCGAAGTAGTAATGACAATTGGTAATTGTATTTTTGTCAACACTTTAGAAGCGTGCCATGAACTGACCTCTTTGAATGAAACAGTCGTGCGATACAATTTCAAGAAAGAACTATTAGAAACTCATGCTATAACTAATCCTGACCACATGACAAAATTAAGCATTCTTTGCAAAGACTTTGATTGTGCTGAAACAGAAGTAATCGTTACAGAAACAATAAAACCTAAAAAGCAGTCACCAAAGCCCCAATGGGCGCATTTGGAGATACATGATTTTTCACAAGTGTTCTTTGCATCAGCTGTAAATCCAGGGACCTTCTTTGTACGGCTCACTAATTTCGAACCTTGCATGAAATTAGTGTTGCAAGAGATTGATAAATACGTCAAACACAATCCCAACCCTGTAGTAGATATACATGTTGGTGATATACTTCTCGCTAAATTTCCTGATGATGCTACCTTTGAGCGAGCTAGAGTTGATGATATACTCGGCGACGATAAAGTCAGATGTTTCTTCGTTGATCAAGGTGATTGGGCTGTCGTTGCAACTAAAGATTTACTTCAAATACCAGATAAGTTAGTGACTCTAATTCCATTCCAAGCTATTGAATGTAGTTTAGTAGGAGTGAAGCCGGCAGGCGATGACTGGACAGAATTCGGAACTAATTGGTTCACGTACAGTTGCTTTGAAAATAAGGATGGGGACATCAAACAACTTTACGTAAAATATTTTAACAAAATCAAAGCGGATTACACGGATGGTCATAAATATGGCGTTGTTTTAGTTGATACGACTACTGAACAAGATATTTTGATCAATCAATTGATGATAGACCTTAATTTAGCGCAAGAGAAGGAAGAGGAAGTGCATTTTTTTACTGAGTTAAACATAAATAATGCCACTGCAGAAGAGAGTTCAACTGATAGTGAAATTGTCACTGTAAAAAAGAATCCAAACAGTATATCCAAGTCACTAGTACCAGTGAATAATCCAAAAGACACCCCAAACGTACCTTTAGATAACATATTTTTGAAAAAACCTATTAGATCAGTTCCATTGGTAGATTCCGACAATGAATCAGAAAACTCGGATAAATGGGAAATAGTGAACGCTAAAGAAGTTGTAAGCTCTATCATTTCACAACCCTCGAGTACACCACCAAACAATCAAAGTTACGCATCTACAAATAAAATTTCTTCTACCGAGAATTTGATTAAAAATTCAATGTCCAAGAATATTCCTGCAATATCGTCTTCGAAATTAGGCTTTGAAAAAAGTTGTTTAAGTACTTCCGTTATCCATGACGAACCTAAAAGTATGTCCAGCACATTAGACTCTGATGACCTGTCTTCAGCAGAAGGTTCCCAATTAGCGGAAAAAGCGATTAAAGAAAAACAAAATGATCATAATAGTACAGAAATCGATGAATTACGAAAACCGAAATTGGTTTGGTGGCAGAACAGTTCAACTGTATATATAAAAATACAATTGATCGGCGCCGAAGAATACAATGTAGAAATTAAAGAGAGATCAATTAAATTCTCAACTTATTTGAATGACACATATTATGGTTTTGATTTCGAATTATACGGAGTGATTGAAAGTAATTGTTCGGTACATAGTAATAAAGGACAGTACATATTAGTGAAGCTTGCTAAGATTATTAAGAAAAATTGGTTAACTTTAACAAGAGATGGTTGTATGAGGAAATGGATCGTGTATGATGTAGATAGTATAGATACTTCGTCTGACGAAGAGGATGTGCCAGTGAATTATTTAGCCGAGATGGTGAAAAGTACACACAACAGAGATGCAGGTTCTGAAAGTGATGACGATTTGCTGGATGATATTAATTTTGAATACAAACGAGACTACGATTAAAATATAAATTACTTGAACTAACAATGAGAAGACTGTGATTTTAATTTTAAACATAATTAAGATTGTTACTTAATTAAATAAGATACTTTTGCTTTCTTATAAGAGGTAAATGCGATTTGCTAAGTTTTCCAGTTGACAGAGACTGAATCTAAACATAATTAAGATTGTTACTTGGTACCTAGGATATTTTTTTTTATTCTTATAAGAGACAATTACTGTTTGCTAAGTTTTCAAATGATTGTCCTAAATGATGCTAAAGAAAAAAATCATACACTTCAAAAATAAAGCCTGCCTCACATGGGGGTGAGGGATTTTAAAGAGCGCATTATCAAGCTTCTGCCACGGTATAGTTCTAAAAAACGCTAGCGCACGCACAAATTCAGATTCAGAGTCAGATTTTCAATGCCCATGAATTTGTCTTGAAGAGTTGAAGTATTAAATTTAATTTTAATCTTTGTATTTAACGCGCACTGCGGATGTGCGCGACCTCTTGTCTATATCTTTGCGCATTCTGTGATTTACCTAGGTAAAATAAGACGACCTCTTTGACAGTGGCGTAGCGTGCCTTGGATCCCTGTATCAAAATTAATTGAGGGGCAACATTTTTTTACTTATAATAATACACGATGGCCCCTGTAGTCCGAAGGCCTCCGTACGGCGGTAGCTACGCCCCTGCTCCTTAGATCAAACAGTCTTGTCTCGTTTTTAATCGACTTACATAATAATTGTATGGCGTCTAGAATATGTAGTAGTGTATGCGAAAATAAAAGAAACAAGCTTGTATGATCAATTTTAAGATCGGCAATGCTTTTATGTTATAAGACCAGTCACGAGCGAAGTTTTACCTTTTTAAAAGAAATAGGGTTATAGAGTATATTAATATTTTAAAAAGATATTTTTGTTCTTTTTTTGTAGTAGTTTGTTAAAAAGTAAAGAATCGACTCTTGGTTATCCGTATCGTATATTATATAAAGTGTAATAAGAGTATTTTAACGTTGCCTATACATTTTATAGAGTACTATATTTTATTTTTGACTGCGTTTGGCAGCCCTGCCTCGAGCACGATGACGGGCGCAGTCAAACGACACCTACTTGAAAAAGTAATAAAATTCTATTTCATTGAAGCTCTATGCTATTTGACGCTGCAACGCTGCGTTCGTCGTCGAGTTCGAGATGTTGACAACTTTTAACAGGACTATTTTATGGATATAAGTCTCAATAATAACTTTTGATTTTACTAAGCCTTTAAATTTAAACATGTAACATTATAAAATGCACACGTTTAACCCAAAGACTTCTATGTATACTAGACAAGTAGTAGAACTAAAGTTGGGTTACAGTGCAGCAGTGTTGACAGATGGAATTAAAAGTAAACAATGAGGAAGTATTTAAAAAAAAAACAGTACCCGAAAACAAATTAGATATCGCTACGGTACTTTCTTGATTTATCCATGATAACCCTTCCGGTTTTCTTCATGTATAAAAGTAAATTAGTTTTCAAAACTCAATAAACAACTCATATTTTATTTGTACTTTATCGTATTTGTATTGATATCTTCAAAAGCATGCTCAGATGACCAAATAGAACATATTCTTCGAAGATTGGAAGCAGGTGACATATCAGAGGATGACTGTGAGTCTGAAGGAGACGATTTGGATTTCTATCCCACGAGAGAAGAGTTACTACAGGTACTAGAAGATGACTTTCCGCCTACTAATGATGATGAGACTGGTAATGATGAAGGCAGATCAGATCCTCCACTTATATGTGATGATGAGTATATTCATGTCTCATCTTCTGCCGCAGACCAACGCATCCCAATCAGGCAAATGATATGGAAAAAGCAAAGCTTTCCATTCGATGAAAATAGAATGAGATTTCAGAGCGACACGCCTCTTTCTTCAGATGTAGTTAATCTAGACACTCCTTTTAATTTTTTTTCGTACTTTTTTACAAAAGAACTTTTGGAAGAAATAGTACACGAGACCAATAAATACAGCGTACAAAAAAATCCAGCTCGTCCAGATACGATTACCGTTACAGAGTTGCGTCAGTATTTTGGTATTCTTGTATATATGTCCGTCTTTCGGTACCCAAGTGTACGTTTCTACTGGAACACTAAGCATGCTTTTACCCCCATATCAGAGACTATGGCACTAAATAGATTTGAAAAGATTAGAAATATCCTGCATTTTAACGACAATGAAAAGCATATGCCACAAGACCATCCAAATCATGATAGACTTCATAAACTAAGACCAATAATAGACCACCTAAATAATAAATTTGGATCCATACCTTATGACCAACGTCTCTCAATAGACGAGCAGATGTGCGCCACTAAGTTAGCTCATTTCATGAAACAGTACTTGCCCAACAAGCCCCATAAATGGGGTTTCAAATTATTTGTCATGTGTTCTTTGCAAGGATTTGCCTATCAATTTGAGATTTATTCTGGCAAAATGATTCATGATCGTCTTTCGACTGAGCCAGAACTTGGTGCAGTTTCTGATACAGTTGTCAGACTAACACGAGGTGTGCCTAGAAACCGCAACCATATAATTTATTTCGATAATTTTTACACCAACATACCGCTTATGCATTATTTTGCTCAACACGGAATTTATTGTCTTGGAACCGTTCAACGTAACAGACTAGGTAAGAACTGCAAATTACCTTTAAAAGCTGAGGTTATGAAGAGTAATGTACCGAGAGGTGATTACGTTGAAAACGTCTCCAGTTACGAAGGAACACCAGTAACCGCCGTTAGCTGGAAAGATAATAAACAAGTGATACTCCTCTCCACATATGTTGGAGCAGATCCCATTGAGACAATCGAGAGATACGATAAAAAAGAGAAGAAAAAGGTGACTATCCCTTGCCCAAGACTGATAAAGGAATATAATTCGCATATGGGTGGGGTCGACCTAATGGACAGTTTTTTAGGTCGATACCGCATTCATATGAAAAGCAGAAAATGGTATTTGCGTATCTTTTATCATCTTTTAGATATCACCATTATAAATTCCTGGGTTCTTTATCTAAAAGTAAATAAACAAAAGGGAATCCATCCAAAGAACCTTATGAACTTGGCGGAGTTTCGCGCTGACTTGGCTGAAGCTCTGTGTAAATATGGAACACACAGAGAGAATAAGAGGGGAAGACCTAGCTCAAGCATTGAAGAAGCAATAGCCAAAAAGAAAAAAAATTGTATCATCCCAGCGAAGCCACCCAAAGATGTTCGTCTTGACAAAGTTGGACATGAACCAATAACGACTGATAAAAGAAGGCGTTGTCAGTACCCTCAGTGCAAGCTTTTGAGCTCTATAAAGTGTTCAAAGTGTAACGTTATTCTTTGTTTTAAAAAAAAATGTAATTGTTTCGTCCTTTTTCATAACAATTGAAACAATATTCTTACCTTATTTTATAATAAATATATATAATACATTTTTATATTAAAAATTCATAACTTTTATTTTTTTACCTTTAATGCATACTGTCTCATTTTTGATACACTACTTTTTTTCTATAAAAAATACTTAAAATGTGTATTTAGATTTTTTTTATTTAAGATTCGAACTTTGCCAATTTTAGTTTTTAATCTATTAACTAAAAGGAACGGAAATGACTATCTTTGGTCCATTTGTTTCCTGCAAAAATCAACTTTTGCTTGAGTCGCCATCTAGTGGAGGTGCTTTTTTTTTAACTTCCTCATTGAAAATATGCGATAAATTTGTACCTAGATTGATAAAAAAATTGTACTTTATATATTTTTCATTGTATATAGTTTCATATCATTTACTTTACCTTTACTTCCGTTTATTGTATTTATAGTTAATATATGTTTTTCAATAAACAGCAGAAAGCTACCAGCCATATTGTCGAAAATCAGTTGGCCAGATCCAGGGGGGCAAGCGAGGGCACGCGCCCTCGGTGTCTATTGCGGGGGGTAAAAAGCCAAAATCATATTAATATACTACATTTTCTGCTCCGGTTGGAAAATTTGTAGAGCCGAGCCTGCTAATTGTTAGATCTGGCAATACTGTATGTAGTCTTATGGCGGTTGAGGTCCAACAAGATTATCGAACAATTTTTGTACGGTACGACTTGTCTGGCTTTGGTTAAAACCCGTTCTAAAAGTTGTTTCATTGACAAAACATACTAAAGGATAACCTATTTTGTTTTGTGATTTCTTTATTATTTATACTATTGAAAACATTATTTAGTGTAATTTCTCTGTATGAAATAAAACCAGCTCTGCAATTGAGGATGTAGATACTGTTTTAGTTAGACCTTGTCCACAATTACGCGTACGTTAAGCGCAAGGGCGGATCCAGGGGCGGTCACGTCAGGTCATGACACCCCGTGGGCTGGTCCAAGACCACGGTGTTAAACATGACGTTTTTATATATTTTTGTCCCAATTTTGATTTTATTGAAGTACTTCAAATTAAAATTAAATTATAACTTCTTATGACTTGAGCACGACTGTGTGACCCCTGGCGCTAAAGCTGGATCCGCCCTTGGTTGGTTAGACTTGTTTCGTTATATATTTACTTGTTGGTAACTGATAGTGTTACAAATAAATAAAACGTTTGCAACATTGAACTTGGAACGCGTCCGAATTCTGGTCAAGGTCTTAATAGAGCCGGGATCTCACTTTTTTGTCGTGTCGTGGCGCGACATATAAGTTTCATTCTTATATACGAAACTACACGCGGCAGCAACAGAAACGACAACATGAAATGTTTCCAACGTTAGACTAAACGAATCATACCTGAATGTCTGTTTCTAATTATAAATAATGTTTGTAATAAAACACGTTTCTTTTTATTATTTTCAATTATTTATTAAATAATTCCTCAGTTACAAGCAATAAATTTATTTAACATATACTGATTAGTTATCACAACATCGAATCAAATAGTCATTTATAACATTTTAATTATACAACATATAAATAAGTAACGTATCTATACAATTTTACTACGATTTCTTTCTATTTGACAACAATTAAATTAATAAAGTATATACATTTGATTAGTAATTAGGAAACAATTGATGAATTATTGTTAAACATTGTTCTTTAGCCTATATTTTTTCTGTATTTCTTTTGGAATGCACAAGCAGTAATACTAATTCGTAATAGTGTTTTCGAATTGAGAAACAATTAAATTAATGATTTACCTCGATAAAATACCAGTAATATGAACAACATATAGTTGACAATCCATTTTTTTGAGACCTGGACGTAGTGGAATGGTAATATTCATTATTTTATGAGTTTTTGGACTAGTTCCATATGAATCGGCTATTAACATTAAGTCCTTTTTATTATTACATCACCTTATTAAGATTACAAAATCAATACATTTTTTTTTTATTATACGATTAAAAATAAGACAAGCAAGAGATGGTAACACTTTCAAGGTGGGTTCCCTATCAATGGCTTTCTAAAGAAATTGAACACATTTCCAAAATACAAAGCTGTGAACCCAGTTTTTAAAAATACGTTAGATAATAGATTATATGAATGTAGAATAGGTTGAGTGCGGCCCGGCACTTATATAAGGTGATTTAGTGTAATTTGTTGTGATGAAGTATGATAGAGAAGTTTGATCAAGCGGAGGAGTGTTGTATTGAGAAGCGTGGTAAAATGTAGGGTGGAGTAGTGTGGAGAACGTGGTAAAGTGTAGTGTGGAGAACATGGTAAATTGTAGTGTGGAGAATGTGGTAAAGTGTAGTGTGGAGAATGTGGTAAAGTGTAGTGTGGACAAGTGTGGTGTTTACACGTTAAATCTGGTTTCTGAACCGTCGGCGAGCATGAGTGTGACGGTGCGCGCGTTCGCCCACACGAGTCTGGCGAGTCTCGCGGGATTTAGTCGAGCCACGTCCGCCATGGGCGCGGTGCTGTAACACTTCACGCAACGTGTCTGCGCCGCGCCCAAACCGAACATGCCTACAGAGCAAAGTTCCAACATTAATATTAATACATATTTGATGATAATATATATTGAAAATGCCATACTGAAAATTATTCTTAATACAAAATGCTTAAAAAATCCACTTGGTGGATGCCAGGGCACCCTGAAATGGGAATCGAACCCGGATTGCGAAAGGTCGTGGGTTCGATTCCCATCTCACGGGTGCCAGGGACCAAGTGGATTTTTTAAGCATTATGTATTAAGAATAATACATATTATGATGGTATAATTAGCAATTATTAATTAGTAAACATTAGACAACATCACATACATTGCTCAGACACCAAGATTAGTACCTAAATTCAACGAGACCACGATGGTACCACAACACCCAGAGGCGAGATTATATAGAAAAGTAAATTTTGTATATTGACCCGATTGGGAATACAACCCAGGACGTTAAAGACGGCGACTCCTTAAAACCGGCGTGCAAGCAACTCAAACAAAAAAATCAAACTAAATTAATTGGTGTTAAAATCAATCACATTAAATAAATAATTTTAAAACTATCAGATTTTTCTTCATTATTAAATCGATCGCGAAGACGACCTGTCACGTGACATTTCGAGCCGTGACGTCAATTCAATAACATGAGAACTGGTTACGCTCGCAACAAAGAAAGTGACGTTTAATGTATTGAAATATGACGTCACACGATGCTCCGTTATGGCCGCCCGCATTTCGGTTCTTGCGATCCACAGTTAATTTTGTAAAAATACAAGATACCTACTTATAATTTTATTTTAAAGCAAAAAAATGCTACATAGTTGTTGTTAACATATAAGTTACCAATTCGAATATATAACATAATCTATTTCTATAACTGTCAAGTAGTCAAGTTGCATCTGAAACTACTTACCAGCCGTGCTCTGCCAGAATGACAGTCTGTTGTCGGCTATGGCGTACGAGACGAGATAACGTCCGTCCGGACTGAACGCGCACGCGGTCACCGGTCCGCTGTGAGCCGCCAGTGACTGGCAGCGACCGGCCCTAAGCTCGTACATCGCCAGTTGGCCAGTGTGGCTGCCCACTGGTGGGCAGGAAAAAATCATGGTAATACCAAACTTGGAGTAAAGAGGTTTTTTCAATAATTATCGTTTATAGGGCAACCGCTTTTTTACTCACCAGATGACGCGACTGTCACGAGAGGTCCTGTCAATGTTTGTTTACTACGAGCAAGAACTTAAATGATACATAAATAATCCCAATTTATTAAATATACCCCATAAACGCCAACCTCTGAATTAGCTGTTGAATTAGCTTTCAATCCGCTTAATTCGCCGTTTTGTTAATTTAATCTTAATTTTGTTTTTAAAGCTCAATTATTGATAATTCATACTCGCTTTAATGAATCTTAGGTACAATAAAATAAGCATAGAATCAATTTATTTCAAAAGAAACATGCGTAGCTCACCGACAAAGTGTGATATTTGAAATTTTCAAGACCTCTATCTACAGTAGCGCCTCTAATGACAAATTTAAAAGCGTTAGCTTTCAGGGCTAACTCTTATAAAATGTTAGTTTACATGACTGTTGCCAAAATAAATTAAAAAAAACTCAAATGTGTTCCAAACAAATATAAAGCAAAGGGATCTAAATATGTATGACAGGATACGTACCCGCGATCCGTCTGGTGGCGGGGCAATGTGATACTTGATTGTAACGACAGATGGCGGGGAACACTTCGTTCAGACCACGACTCTTCAAATGGGACTGATCAACGCAGTGTAGAATTATGTCCATCACCTGATAGAACACACAGACAATAGAGCAAATTTACTTTTTTATAATAAAAATAATAATTAGTAGTAATTTTTATTATCGAGATCTGAAATCAACGATGGTTCTTAATTTATTAATCTATACTTGTAGTTGTAAAAAAAATTGTCATGATATTTGGTCAGTAGTTATTTTGATGAGTCACTTAAGGATTTATTGAAATTCAACTCCTATTTCGTCGACAGTTAAGATATCGACATCGTGAGGCTGCTTATTAAAAAAAAACACAGGTATATCAGTGATTCTAGTGTATTGTAATGAACTAAGAGGAAATAAATTAACTAAAGCCGAAGAGCTGCAGGAACGCGAATCTACCACATTTGGATACAGATTTCAACGTACAGACACCGGGAAGCTACTTTGTTATATACTATGTATATGTCACCGGAAAATTACAAAATATGATTTGATCTGAATTCAGCGTTGCTCCCATAGTAAAAGTTGTTCAGAATACTAAATTAATCCACTCCACGAATTCCTGGCATATAAATATGTTACACCTTATATATGTCACCGGAAAATAACAAGAATCACAAGTTTATAAATTTCTAAACGAGAGATAAACATGGATGACGACTGATTTTTATTTGTTTGTTCGTCAGGTATATTGTTGAAAAATATTAAACGCGTATTTTTTTTCGTAATCATTAAATTACACATACACACACACACACATAAATATGTATATCGACGCTTAAGAAACAAGACCATCTATCTACACTTGGCGATTTTGATTTTTTAATGCAATTCTTTTCATGGTTAATTTACGCATCGTTTCCTTTAATCGATTACTTCAAATTCCTACACTACACACTAAAAATACCTACACTACCTAAGTTACGTGTCGTATTAATTGTATGGAAATACCACCTATCTACAGAGAACGTGTAATTACTCGTTTTAAAATTTAATGAATTAAGAGTTTTTTGTTTAAGTCTTTAATCTATATTATTTCGTTTGCAGTTCGCTGCATAAAAATACATAACTAATATCAGCTATCTACAGTAATTTTGAAACTAATATAGATTTCTTGAAATACATCATCATCAGACCTTTATTTCGTCCCCACTGCAGGGGCTCAGGCCTTCCTTTTGGTTAGGCCTTTATGGATGGTTAAGGAGCATGGGCCATGACCTTCCACGCTGGCCCAATGCGGATTGGCGGATATTAACGACTGCAAATGCAGCCGGGACCAACGGCGTAACGTGCCTTTCGAAGCCACGGAGTAGCTAGAGATAATAATTTTTTGGTCTCCCATCCCGTGACCGACCCTTGCGATAGTTGCTTAACGACAACGATCGTATATCGCGGCGCATATCCACTACGCCACCGAGCTTTTTTCGTCTCATGTAAAATCGTCTTTTTGTAGATAGATAGTTTTGTTTCTCAAGCGTCATGTATGGTATGTATGTATGTATGGTGTGTGTGTGTGTATGTATGTATGTATGTATGGTATGTATGTATGCGTTACCTCGACCAGCAGCTCGGCGACCTCGTTGTGCATCCTGTCGATGAGCAGCTCGATGCCGCGCAGCACCTCCGCGCGGCCGCGCTGCAGCGCGTGGTGCGCGGGCGCCGGCGCGCCGCCCTGCTGCGCGGCCGCGCACCGCGCCACCTCGCGGGCCATCGTCGTTATGAACGCGCCCGGCCTGAACACCGTGATAGCTTAGCGCTTGAAAAATCCATACTAGATAATAATAATCTTTATTCAAAACCAAAACAGAATATGTTTTTATACATAAATTAATGATCTGGCATTTTAGGTTACTTTTTAACACTTACATTATTCTGAGCCCCTGACCCTCAAACTAGAATTTTGAAGATGTCCCTTCTTTATGTAACTGTTATTTTAAATAGCCTATTCCACCAATTCCGTAGCTACCGTGTTAAGAATTACATGTGACATGCTATAATATTACTCACACGTTTTTATTGAGTATTAATTTACATATCTTTTTAACCAACCTCATAAAAGGGGGTTCTCGATATCGACTGAATGTAATTTTTGTAAGTTTTACGAAATTTGTACATCAATAGTGAACCTTATAAAGATTTTTTCGATGGGCATAATAACGCGTGATCCCTCTTTATTTATCAGTTATACAATAAGCAAATTCACACTTTGTAGGTCATTAAAATACATAAAGAGATGGGACAATGGGCAATCCAGGCGCCTGCTCTAACCACTGAGCCACAGATCTGACGAATATTTCGAGCACTTATTTCTTTTTCGCTACTACAGAGCGTATTTTCATCTATGTTCAGACAACCCACCTAAACAGCCGAAAGAAATATTTTTAAAAATATTCAAACTTTCGGTAAAGGCGAAAATTTGTTCTAGTTATCTTCAATGGTTGAAATGTATTATAAAAAATGTAATATAGGGAACTGTAGGTTTACTTTACCTCAATAAAATAATAATAATAAAAAAAATTGCTTCAGTCAAATATACAGTAGATAACGCAAACTCGCAAACAAAACAATACTCAAATAAGGCACCATCTTTTAAAATACTAAGTAATAAAATAGGCTCCAGCAACAGGAATAATACCAATCTAACATAATATGCCTTAAATTCAAGTCTCAAGGCTCAGTTTTATTTATGTCTCACTCGTTTGATGGAAAATATAAAATATCTACAGCAACTGTCTATTATGAACACAAACTAATAATATTCAGGTAATAAAGTATAAAATTATTAGTACAAAATGACACTTGCATCATTTTGAATTCGTTTAAATACTGCGACGACCAAGGAACATAATACAGACACATTGACTGAGTATATTCTGTGATAATACTCTAGGCGAGAACTGAGAGTATTTTTTTAGTTTTAAAGTATAATAAAGAAGAAATCTTTGGTTTTATTTGTATCACGAGAATCACAATTTCAGTCACAATTGTTTATGTTTTTAGTAGCTTCAAGTTAGTAGACACACCAATACTCAGAAATATCTCGAATTCTATTGAAGTGAGTGAAATGAAAGTTCGTGGTGTAGAAGTCACTAATTAGTCACATTTTTTGGATATGTAATTCAAACTAATACGAATCGTATTGCCTGTGTGCCAGTCTAGATATCAGGCACAGTAAGATCTTCCAATGTCTCTTCATTTACTGTGTCATTAATTGTAACTAATTACTCACAATATATTGACATACATAAAAAACCCTCAGACTCGTTGGTGCGCCTGCTACCTTGACGTTCACGTTATTTTTGCAGTTTTAATACACACTGAGGCCTTACAACACGTAAGAACATTGGCGCTGTCGCAAACTAAATCAAAATAAGATTTTACTTTGAAGTGAGGCGTTTCTTCGGCTATTTTTCAGTCTTTGACCTGGCATCTAGTTGTATTGTTGATCGAAGATAATTTGATTCGTAATAATTAAATGGGCACTCGTTTACGATTAACTGACAGACAGATGTCGCCGGAGCGACGAGAAACCATGGTAGGTCGTGTTTCAAGTCAAGTGATAGACAGACAAAAATCTTATTTTAATTGTATGATGATAAGATAATTATGCGATATACAGCCTGTTGCACAGACGCCCATAAAAATTTACATTAGTTTAAAGCGGCACAGTCTTTCATCAGAGTTTAAAGTTGTCCTTAAACTTTAATGAACGTTTGTGCAAATAAGCGTTTACAACTTAAAATCATACTATCTATATTTATTTCAATGTAAATTTTAATTATTGTGCAATTTTGTGACTTATTCAAGGGTAGTTTTTAGTAGTGTAAAACTACTAAAAAGAGCCCTACTGTTTTACCTGGCCGTCGCTATAAGCGTGAGTGCGTGACGCGCCGTACGGCACGAATCCGCCTGCGGAGTCAAAGGCAATCCGTACGTCATAGAAGGAACCAACTTGTCCGCGTCCGAACACATCTCCAATAAGCCTGACGAACAATAATTATACAGGGTAAGTTCAAATGTGAATATTTCATTATTAATAAAATTTAAATAATAATAATAATGTCGGTCACTGCCCCCCGTGCTATTATTTATAGGCAGATAGGGTATTAGGTGACTTGTTAATAGGATACTTTTTATCCCACTAATATTTCCCTAGGAACCACGAAAGCTAGTAATAAATATAAAAATATGTATAGACAATTGTAATATGAAGCATATTACAAAGTTAATATTTAGTAACACATATCACAAGTATTTCTAAAGTCTCGGAAAGCTAAATTGATAAAGAGACGCTAAGTTAGTTTTCCTCGTTCTGAGTAATAAGCAGAGGTCGGAATTAGGTAGAGTTATTTATGTACTTGCATCGAAATGTTGATATTAATATGGACCTTCCCGGGATTTCTTTATTTCTTCTTTCTTTATTTCTTTTTTTCATTGATGTAAGTTTGGCAACGTCGTGCGTGCAGTAGTCTAAATTGTGTAAAAGTAAATAACTTTTTATTTAAAAAATCATGGGAATTTTTCTGCTTTTTAAAATTAATCTCGGGTTTGAGGCATATTCACTTTATTCTTTCGCTGTATGAAATCAGTGTAAGTGCATGAATAACTCTACCTAATTCCGACCACTGGTAATAAGATAAAAATATTTTTTTTTGACGATTCAAAAGAACTTGCTATTACCTTATTTGACAAAGGACATTTTTATCTTGGGTACCAGGGATAAAGTGGATATTTTAAGCATTTTTTATTAAGAATTTATTTGCTGTATTTTACCTAGCAGCACGTGACTGACATCCAGGTATGGTTCCCAAACAGTGAACCCGCGACCCAACAGATCGACAGCGGCCCGCCTCAGCGGCGTGTGCGCAGGTAAACGTGGACACGGCGGCGACAACAGGAGATGCGTCAAAGCTAACGCGGTCAGGCGCGCTAGATTGTTAGAAGCGCTCAATGTGAAGCCTGAAAGAAGAAATAAATAAATAAATATAACATCGTATAGGTTCTATCTACACGTCACTAAGATTCCAAGATGAGTGGCTAAAGTATTATGGAGTATCAGAGACAACGAAGGTAACACATCATCCAGACCCGAGACAATATAGAAAAGTCAATAGAGATGACGATTGGGTAAAAACAAAAAATAAATTCTATTTAGTTCGTCAGTTAAATAATATAAAAACACTACATACGTATTTTTTTTTGCTGCAATTTAAACAAGAAATGACTTAAATAATAGGCATTAAAGTTGAGGAGTGGGGGCTTGCTACATCACAATTTTGTAGAAAATGTACAAAAGTGTGACGTCATGCTATATCTCTACTCAACGTTTTATTGATTGCGCAAAATACGTATTTAATATTTTTCAATAATCTAACTGACAGACAAAGAAATAAAAAATAATTATTATCCCTATTAAATAAATAAATAAATATAAGGCAACATCATATAGGTTCTATCTGCATGTAGCTCAGATTCCAAGTTGAGTAGCTAAAGTAGTATTATGGAGTATCTGAGACGAAAAAGGTAATACTGATACAACATCCTAAACCGAGACAATATAGAAAAGTAAATTTTCTACTTTGACCCGACCGGGAATCGAACCAGGTACCTCAGAAATGGCGACACAATATTATGTACTGATTTACTTGTAAAGTCTATTCTATAACATAAAATGATAGATTTTTTAAACGATTTTGGGCTCATACAGCAAATTTTCATTGGTTTGACCAATTTATAGATCAATGAAATGAGCCCGTAGTGATTCTACGCATTCTGCATGCGAACCGCATTGGCCAATGTTAATGAGCTGTTTATCTGTTGATAGTTATTTTGAAAATCAATTGCATTAAAAAAATGTAAAACTAACATCTGGTTGCACAAATGTCCATTAAGGTTTAAAGACAACTGTTCTAATAAATGTTCTTAATTTGAAAATGTGTATCGGTAATATCGATTTAATGTGATGATATCGTAATTTTAATGGACGTTTATGCAAATATGTTATGTAGGAAGTGAAGCTCCATTGCGCAGTGGCTAGCGCGTTTGATCTGCAATGCGAAAGCAAAGCAAACTTTGCAAAGATCACAGGATAAGTGACCAAAAATGTATTATTTCAAGCTTTGCTTCGGAAGGCACATTGAGCCGTTGGTCCTGGCTGCATCTGCAATTGTTAATACCTACGAAGTGGGTAATAATTTGTCTTGATGTTCCATCTATAAAGAAGACTTGAGCCCCAGCAGTGGGGATATAAATAGGATGATGAAGTGCTTATGCTACATAATGGTGCAAATTAATAGAATAAATGGAGCAAACCTTCTACGACAGAGCTCTTCCTACTGTCGCCGTCTTTACGCCGTTTGTTGCCCGCCGCTCCTGTAATGTATTTACCTTAAGAGTAGGTTTTACTACGATGGCCACTCCCACTTTACTTCTAATCACTATAACTAGTGATATCAAAACGAAAACAGTCAAACGCTATTAGCAAAATGAACAGAAGAAGCTAGTTAATTATGCAATTGTTACGGATGAATATTTAATATAATACACTTTTACTTATACAAATTTGATCATTGTCACCTAAGAGATAGAGTTCATATTTGCCAATAAAGCTGAACGAAAGTTTCCTTTGACTAATAAGGCAACCAACCTTCACTGGTGATGTCCTGTCCAAACTCCGCACCAATTACACCAAGGAGTACGACAGCTGTGGTCTGTTTACGTTTCAGTTCAGCTAGAGAGGACGGTTTGCGCACTATCTCTTCCTCTTCCTCCTCAAATTCTTCTTCTTGCTGTACAATTATAATGGATACAGGCTATCTCTCTTGCACATATTGAGTGTAACAGTTTTTTTCCAAAAAACTTATGTTTTCCAATTAGTAAGCAGATAAATAATTATATTTTGATGTGCTTACCAAAAGAAATCGATGACAGCACTGCAGCTATTAGTTTTACAGCACTAATAATAATAAAAAAACAATCAATATCATTCATTGAGCCTAAGAGTCTTAGCAGAGCGAATCCGTAAAAAGCCGAACCCAAATTAAAATTCACTGAGGTGAAAAGCGAATTCGAAAGCAAACCCGCTTAGTGTAGAAATTCTTTCGATTCCCATTTTTTATATGAAAATACGAATAGGATTGATTGATTCATTCTTGTGTCAGATATTCTATCCCTATGTCATTGCGTAACTCACTTCACTTATGCCACGAAACGTTAATACTAATTTAAGGTTAAGCGTATTCGTTTTCGTAGTGTTATTGGACACCTCAGTGAATTCCTCAGTGAATGTACGCAAATCTACAGCGGGAGAGCATTGCATTGAGAAGAACAGGCAAGAAACTCTACACGGGTAGGTCTTTTGACCAACGACCTTTTGTTCTTTCGCCTGCCGAAGTTGTTTAATCTTTATCTATACTAATATTATAAAGACGAAAGATTTGATTGTTTGTTTGTTTGGACCGATTTGAAATATTTTTCACCTACGGGAAGTTATATTATAAGCGGTGATCATAGGCTATATTTTATTCCGAAACACTGGAAATAAAGAGATAAAATTGGGAGTGGAAGTTTACTATTCAATTTGTCATTGTAATTATATCCGTGTCTTGATATGAATCGATAGGTATCCAAATATACAGTTCCCTAGGGACCACGCGGACGAAGCTGCTGGCGGAAAGCTAGTAATTTATATTTCGAAATTAGGTACAGTCAGCGTCATAATTATCGAAGCGAACTATTGAATGGATTCAAGTCGAATAGTGTTGTACTTAGTCAAATCGAGACTTAAATTTATCGATAAAATTGAAGATATATTGTTGATTGCCTAGACATTCTGTACTTCGCATATTTTGATCACCTTGAGTGCTACGATAAAAGTCTTGTGTCATACAAATGAAAATACAGTTTTCTGTTATATGTTCGGAAAATATTTTGACATTTTGACTTATAAATATTGAACAAAATAAATTTTGTATCGCTTATTTGGAAAATATTACGCTTTGAAAACTTGTAAAAACGTGGGATGCCATTAAATTAGTTACATACAACGTAACAACTTTCATAATCACAACTATAAAAATAAACGCACAAATAACTGACGCCTATACGTTTTTCGCCACCGCAGCACTGTGTGACGTCACTTTGTTCCTTGAATTTCTAGGGAGTGTTTTCGACCGACAAGCAGCAGTTCCACAAACACAGCAGTATCTCCTAAACTATTATCGCAGACATACTTACTGTCATTTCTACATTATATCTCAGATATTAATGGACTAATTTATTTACAGAATAAAAGTTGCCAACAAGCCTATTATAACGCTGACTGTATTACAGAGGGCCACAATCATATAAAATTGTTAAATTCTAATATATGTGTGTTTTACTGTACTTCTTGTCTTATACCTTTTCTACGGGTTCCTTCGTGACAGCGTGAGGGTTAATACTCTCCGTGTGCGTGTACAACGGGAGGTATTGTGCCCAGTTGTCCACTAGAGCTTTGCGACCTTTAGCACCCAGCCTGTTCAATCATTATTTATTGATCTACAAAAACACATCAAAGGCAATAATACTGAAAATAGATTTGTTTTGCGTTTTTTTATATTTAATGGGATGAAACTCTTTCGTGCGCGAGTCAGGCTTGTACGTGGTCGTTTTTCGATACTTATAATTATCAATAACTATTACAAAAATACTTTTGCAGTTATTTTGAGGTTTAAATAGAGGGCCTTTGCAATTAATTTGTACCTTCGGGACCGTTGTAAACTAGATTTCGCTTATAAGCCTATACCATCCTCAATATTTACAGAATTTGCAATATTTGCAATAGGCAATATTTTCTAAGACTCCGCGTGTTTACTGTAACGCGATTTGTTGGCAATAAGATAAACCTACCTTTTTAAATCGACCTTTTTAGACGAAATTGGATATAAAATAAGAAGAAACACAATATATGATGTCCATCTTAATAGTAATGTGACGAAACGTACAAATTATGCGAATAAAATCAGTGCAATATACAGCCGACAGCTGATAAGGTTAAAACTATAAATGATTTTAAACCTTAATGCGTTTAAAGTAGACTTCAGTTTCGGAGTACGACAGTTTCGGAGATTTTACAATATCGGTGAAAATGTTGAGAATAGGAAGTAATTTCATATTATTATGTATTTAATGATTATACGTTTGCGTATGCGTAATTCGGTGGCGTAGTGGATAAGCGCCACGGCTCGCGACCGTTGTCGTTAAGCAACTTTAAAGCAACGGTCGGTCACGTGATGGTTGACAAAAAAAAAACATTATCTCGAGCTACTCCGTGCTTCGGAAGGCACGTTAAGCCGATGGTCCCGGCTACATTTGCAGTTGTTAATATCCTCCAATCCGCATTGGGGCAGCGTGGAGGGTCATGGCCCATCCTCCTTAACCATACATATGGAAGGCCTTAGCACTCTGCAGTGAGGATGTAAAAGGGCTGATGATGATGATGAATAATTCTACATTACATGGGTGACTACTAACCTGCCGAGTTCAGCCAACAGTAGTGCTTGCGCAGCCTCTCGCACTTCTAAACAGTGGTGCTGCCATCTGCGGGCTAACATCTCAACCTGAGGCCTCTTGAAGTGTTTAGCACCTGCCGTGTTCAAAATATACATATATAAAAATTTGATTGTTTATCCGTTAATACTCGTCAGTGAGTATCTATACTAAGTTTATAAAGAGTTGAGATTTCATTGTTTGTTTGTTTGCAACGAATAATCTACCGGATAGGTTTTAAAAATTCTTTCGCCTACTGAAAACTACATTATATGCGGTGCACATAGGCTTTATTTTATCATGACGTAACTGCAGATAAAGGGATGAAAATGAGAGTGGAAATTTGTATAGGGAATTAAAACGTTACCATGGTAACCATTGTTTACTATCAAATTTGTCATTGTAATTATATTCTTGTCATGATATGAATCGATATCTAAATAAACAGTTCCCTAGGGACCACGCGGGCGGATCCGTTAGAGGAAAGCTAGTAAAGATATATATTTTTTAAGTTACCTATTATTACCGGCAGCGACTAATTATGCTGACAGCGGAACAATGCAGCTCAGTCAGTAGCGACCAGCTGTGTTTAATGTGAGTTTGTAATGTCGTCAATTATCACCTGCAGTCACTATTTTGTCTGGTAGCAAGACGCAACCCAGTGCTGCCAGTAGCGACTTGCTAAGTTTGATGTGAGCTTGTAACGTCGTCAATTATTACCTGCAGCGACCACCTTGTCTGGAAGCAGGACGCAGTGTAGCGTGGCCAGTAGTGACCATCCCTGTTTGATGTGAGCTTGTTGCGCTGCCAGTTGCTCTTCTCGTTCTTCATCACCAGCCCATGAAGACGAACTCCTAGTAGATGGCCTGTTGTCACAGGATTTAATATATGATTGGTTCGGATAAATATACGTTATTTAATTACTACCGGCTTTATTAATATTATAATGTAAATTTGCTTTTTACGGTGATTTTTTGGCGGACTGGAAAAGATGATTAAATCCTAGTAATATTATAAATGCAATGTTTGTTACTCTTTCACGCAAAAACTACTGAACGAATGCAGACAAAAGGATAATTTAAAGCCTGAATTAACATACAGGATATATTTCAGCTAGATTTGAAAGTCAAGCTTTACAATAGGTGCCTTGTCAAATTTTAATCATATTAGATAATAGGTTTTACCTTTATGGGAATTTAATAAATCCTAATATAGCTATTTGAGTTGGCCCAAAAATGAGCTGATGAATTAGGAGGGCAGAACATTGTGATACAAGTTTCCTAGGGAATAGTATTCGGATATTTACACAGATATAATGAAAATACATTATGAAATACAAGATATATTTTTCTAGGGAGTTTCCTTCATATACACTGAAGATGTTGGCCGTATCAAGTCTTCTTACTAATATTATAAAGACGAAATTCTGTAGGTTTGTATGGTTGTTACTTCTTCACGCAAGAACTACTGATTTAGGTGAAATTTTGTATATGGATACTTCTAAACCTGTATTAACAAATACGCTACTTTATTATCTCCTCTATCTTAAAGTGTTCCCTAGAGATAAAATTACTGTCAAGTCAACATGTTGAACAAATTTTTCACCTATAGGTAAGCAACATCCTACACTTGTGACATAGGCTATAACTTACGCGGTAAAACCTGATCTAACTGACCTGTGCAGACGTCTGACCACCTCCTGCTCAGGTACGAAGCTGGCATTGCTCATGGACATGAGAGTGTTGGCGAGGGCGACGATGGACAGCAGGTGATTAGTGGTCAAAGTGGTGCTCAGCTCCCAATGCAGTTTCGATGTGAACAACCTGCAGAGGTAGAAGAATAGCATAGCAAGAATAGAATAGCAAATAAATAAGAATAGAATAGCAAAAGTTAAGCAACTTTCGTAAAGGCCAGTCATGGGATGGGTGACCAAAAGTTTTATTGACAAGACCGTGCTTTCTAATACGTTGATATACAATGCACGTTGATATACATCATCTACATAATATGCTTTTTTATCAGCATCCACGCATCGGTTGTCCAGATCGGCAAATGCGGTTCAATGTTCATAAATTACAGATTTGTATGCACACCTTAGTTATCTGAAAGTGTGTTTCAATATATGTATATCTAAAAATCTTCTTTTTTATACAATAAATTGTTCAACTACCTAATAGACTAACGTATATGAATATGCAAGAAAATTCTACAATACCACATATTTAATAATCTCATCTTTGAAGTAGATACTGATGGTCGTTAAACACCTGGTGAGTTTCTCCTGACGCAGGAGCTCTACAGGCAGCTCGCTAGTGATGAGAAGTGGATCGTCAGGTGCCGCGTCGCACGCTTCCGCCCAGCCCCCGAGTCTGGTTGGAAGCTGCACAGCCATATGACCGTGACGGGACACCACGCCGAAGCATACAGGCACCTGGCCATGATTAAAAATTACGGAATTTATTATGCGACATTATATTAATACAGAAAAAAATTGTAATCAGTGCATCATTTTTCGTACGGTTTATTTAGTATCGCTAATAGCATATTGTCAAAAAACGTGATCATAAGTATCAGTGCTACATGTTTTTTAACTTCAATATTTGCAGGTTATAAAAAAGAGAGAAAATAAGCTAGGTTAAGATTCACTGTACGGAAAATCATATGAAATTTTGAGCACAGACTATAATTATTTCCTGTATACATATATGGGAAACGAAGTCCAATAACACATTGGTTAGCAACATTTCCAAGGGTCAGTCATAGGATGGGTGACCAAAATTTTAATAACCAGCACAGGTTTTCGTCCTCCTCGCTTCAGGAAACTCTTTATGCTATTGATTTTGTCTGCATCTGCAGTCGTTAATACCCACCACATCCTAAATAGACTGCATACTAGATTATGATTCATTCTTTTGATTGCATCCATAGGAAAGATCTGTATCCTGCAATGAGGATATTTAAAGGCTAATGATGATGATATGGAACAGATCGGCGATGTAATATGTGATTTACTGTCACCGGTTGTATTTGTTTGTCACTAAAGTCCATTTTAAATTAGATTTTTGTGTGTGCGTGAAAACCTGGTGCGACTGATTTACCTAATTATTACGGTCCAGAAGAAATACCACTGACTAGGGATATTTAGAGGACTACGTTGGTAAGATGGCAGACTGCAGGTTATTGACGAATACTGCTGAAGAATTATTTGACTAATTCCTAGATTCCTCACCATAGGTCTCAGAAGACCCAGCTTCGCCTCGCAAACTCTATCCAAATCCGGATCGAGACCCCACGCGTGCAGCAGCGAAATTAGTATTTGTGCGATCTCCATGGTGTGCGGGGGTTCAGCCATCGTGATGTCTTTGGGCCGGTGACGTTTACCCTGACCAGTTTCATCTGAAACAAAATAAAACTACAGTTTAATATACATTGAATAAGCTAATATAGGAGCAGGCTAGTACATACTACATGGCCTAGGGCGGCCAAATCTGGGAATTCGCCTCTGATCGTACATAATTAGACAGCGCTGTGTAACGCTGTATTTTTAAAAGAATAATTGGGATGACGACTGGGTAAAACAAAAGAAATTCTATTTAGTCCGTCAGTCAGATAATAGAAAAATATTAGATACGTATTTTTTTTTACTTCAATTTGATAAGAAATAGCTCAGATAACAGGCATTAAATTTGAGGAGTGGGGTTCGCTAGGTCACAGTTTTATAGAAAATGTTTCAAAACGTAACGTCATGTGACATTTTAACTCTTAAAATAAAAAACACGTGTTTAATATTTTGATTAAAAAAAAAACAAAAATTTGTCTTCTTCTTTTTTTTATTAATGGCTTATCTGCGCATTTGAATAAATGTGTGAATAAACTATTAAATGAAATACATTGAAAATGAAATGAAATAATAAAAATCTGTGAAAAAAAGCAAAGCTTGTCATCCCTATTACATACGCGACATTTATTCATTCTTATTTAGTACAAAGCTCGTGGGGACATCTAGGAAAAAATAAGATAGGTAGCTTTATTGTTAAAAATACAGTGTATTTTAATTTAGACGGAATTTCATTTAGTCTACTTAAAAAATTGTATCTTTAAACAGTGGTTTTTAGATACAATTTTTTAAGTAGACTAAATTAAATTCCGTAACAATAGAGAATATGCGTCTTATTCAAAAAAGGGTTAAATATATTTTATTACGATCCTTATTGCTTTAGTATAAAGTCTGCGTAAATATTTTTCATCATTAGTTCGTTTTCGTCTTGAAAATAATTATTAAAAAGTGCAAAATAAATGCGGTAAATTCAAACTATTTAAACGCCATACTACTTGTCAGAGCGGATGTGACGAAAATGTACACGTATAGGGATGTCGTTGTTACAAAAATTTGACATCGATGCAATAACATCAATGTATTATGTAGCAAAATAAACAACAGATTACAATTTAAATGATGTTGTAGGCTTTTATTTTTATTTAATCAATTTGGTAAACTATATGATTTATTAATTATATATCTATTATACTTAAAATAAATCGATTAGTTGTTAATCGATTTGGGTAATTGAATAATAATCAATCACTCAAACTCCATATTGATTTAAAATGTCATATCTCTAGTCGTGTACTTTGACGTCACCATAAGCGCGCCAAAAATTCCGATGTTTAAACTGCTCGTAGCTATTACTTATTTTCATCAATTATTAATGTTACAAAATTTTAGTTTTTCGGTGCCGGGTATTTTTTTACATTTATATATCGATGTAAATTATCATATAAAAACATTTTCCAAAAATGTGCATATTCTCTATTGGCGATCTTATCATCACTTATAGCGATTTCTTCAAATAGATATACATAATATATAAGTTTGCTAAAGGATATTATAAAAAAATATAGGATAACATCAAATACATTGCTCAAATCCCACATGTAACAACGAAGGTAACACAACACCCAGACCCGAGACAATATAAAAAAAACTTTTTACATTGACCGACTTAGGGATCGAACCAGAGACCTGCGTGCGAGCCAGTGGGCCAATGAGTAAAATATAGTTGCATTTGTTGCCACAGACCAGGCTTAGCTTGGTTTCATTAGTAATTTTAGCTTAAGATATATAATGAAATATATTTATTGATTGAATACACGCAACTTGTATGTAAATTTATATTAGTTACATTATACTAATTTCCCTGATTCCCGACTTTGCCGACGTTTTTTTTATGTTTATTTTACGCATAGTTATAACTGTGTTATGCGCATAGTCTACGTAAGTTCCCAACTCATGTTAACTTCCAAACATAAATCATTGGCATTAAAATATTCACACACATTTAAAACAAATATATTGTATATAAAATTTACAAACCGTGAACAATTTTAAACACACCGACTAGTGATGCGGACATAAAAAATATATCGATAAGTTCAATTCCATTTTGATTTGTTATTTTAATAGAAACTTAATCCTCTTATAAATAAGTTAAAACAACAAATTCACTTTTATTCCTGTTAAATATTAGTTAGCTTTCAATTTAATTTTTACATTGTAGCTAGAATAGAATGACAAAAAATAAGACAGTCGGTAAAAGATATTTTTCTTATTATTACATTTTCAATATGGCTTTTTTATTTTTTACTAATTATAAATAAACAATAATCAATAAATAAACTTTATTTTCCTCGAATATTTTACAATAAAAACATACTTCCTTTTACTATAATACCTGTATCAGGAGGCTACCGCTCTTCTAGTCTAGTCGTTATATAGGAATATACAAATATTATAATTAAATCAGGTTATTATTTAGCTTAAAAGTGACGCTGCTGGGAGGATGATGAAAGTTGTTAACTAATTACTATATATTTATTATAAGACTATATATTGATTATTTTAAAACTGGCATTGTAATAATTAACATCAAATAATAAATATTTATTTAAATGTGTAGCTTGATGTCAAATGCAATATTTTATTAACTACTTTTAATTTAAAAAGTATGTTACGTTGTAATTACATTTAAGCTTGTTTATTGTTGGGGTCACGGGCTTCCAGGTTACATTTTCATATTCATGTCGTGATAACCTTTAATTAAGGCGGCACATTTTCTTTGTTATTAATTTATTTGCATGTACAGTGTTTGACATTGTTGGTTCAAAGAAGAAGACTATGTAGTTATAAAGCGAGCAAGTTATAAAGCATTACTACAATGTCATTTCTGCAGTTAACCATCAATGCAGGATATTAAGGTGTTAATCGAGTAGATAAATTCAACAGTTTTGTATAACCTCGCTTTGTTTTAATGACCTTAGTTTTAATAAACAATATTATATCGATAATTTTTATCGATCAGTGCCCATCACTTCAGAATAATCTTAACAACCATGCAGTTACGTTAGCAATGCTATCACTAACCTTGCGAGTTAGAACAAAGACACGATATATAAATATGATTGTGTATTTTATAAGGGGAACTAAATGGTAACTGCGTTTTTTTAATACCAGTCAACGCGAGTTCAACTATAGAACCGTTAAGAAACAAGCCCATTTTTTCTGCCTGTTTTATTTGACAAAGTATTTCCGCAAAGCTATCGCAGATTTTCTTATGAAAAAGTCGTTTTCTGCCTCTGTTGGTATATCTAACAACTCTCTGTGCAGGGTGTGCTTTGGTGGTCGAAGATACAAGCGTTCACGTCCTACTGGAATGCAGAGGCGTTTCAAGACAAAAAGATAGATAGCAGAGATATGCGGCACAAATTCGAGGACTTATAGCCTTTCTGGAGGAACTGGGGTAGCAGGACTGAGGCAACCCCGTTATTAAAGGCTTACGACAAATAGGCTCTGGGTGACGCGATTCGGAAAAGCCCGTCATAAAACATAACTCTGTTGGCACTGTGTTTATCTAGACGCATTTTTCATCGTGGAATTAAACATTTCTTGAGAAACTTTCACTATTTATTACTTATATGATTCAATAAATAAATCCGTCCAGTAAAGAGCTTCAATGAATTAAACCTTTGTTACATTTCCAAATAGGTTTTATTTAATTGAACCTCTACGCAGTGATCAGCAGTAGTCGAGTTCTAAGCTATTTTTATAACAGAATATTATTGCTGTACTATTTATTTAACACAAATAATTTGTATTTGTTTGGACAGTTCTTATTATGGTCACGGCATGATATGATGCTATGGGCAAACCACACCAATTAGTTGTTTCCCGCGGCTTCGCCCGCGTAAGTTATAGCCTATGTCACCCTTGTATGATGTAGTTTCCCGTAGGTGAAAGAATTTTTAAAGTAGGTACAGTAGTTTTGGAGTTTTTCGATCCAAACAAAAAACATACAAACAATGAAATCTTTGCTCTTTATAAAATTTCTAATATATAAAATTACCGTTACACGGTCGTTACGAAACGACTTGACCGATTTTGATGCAATTTTATATGTATATTCAGTAGATCTAACAATGCGTTGTTATCTTATTTTTATAAACCCGATAGTGAAAAGGGTGGTCCACCCCAATTATGGCAAAATAACGTTTTCCGACCAACTAGTTAGTATAACAAAAAACATTCGTGTAAAAAGTCACTCATTATAAACAAATTACAGACATTCGTTAACCGTTACGAAACGAAAAATAACTAGTATACATCATAGTAATGGGAACAGCCGTTGTAAGTATTAGACAGGTATAAATTTTTTTTTTCATATTGTTCTTGAAGACAAGGTCGGCGACGGACAAACGTATAATTGGACGCCAATTTATTATTAGTTACCACTTGAGGGTGTGTACATTATATCATATACACACTCACGCATGCTCATACACATACTACTAACACTAGCACAGACACATACATACATGCAGGTATATACACAGTTACTTTAACACATGCATACCACACAGTGGGACTGGACTGGACACCGACGGGGGGAGGATCCACGAGGGACTCAGCCTAGGTGGGTCGTTCCTGGCTGGGCAACGACGATTGCTCAGTAGCGAATCTTAGTGTTAACGCGCTAAATGGTCATTGCACATTCTCACCCTGCCTGGGGGGTATGACTCAAATGTTCCTGAATCGTACACCCAAACCGCAGAAGGAACCGCCCTGCAAGGGGTGGATCGAAATGGGACAAACGGCGCGGGAAGTGGATTTCTGGCTGTCCCCATGCATCGCCTACACGGAGAGGGACATCCTTAGGTTTTAGGTGCGCTACAGAACCCAGCGACTCTGCGCTGGTAAGAACAGGTATGCAGTAATGTATTTCCTAACGTTAAAAATAATAGATTGTGTACATATATAAGAACACGTTCTTTTAATATTTTTTATTCATCATCAGCCTAGTGATGACCTGCTCTGGTACAGGTCTTGGTTATGGATAGATTCT